GCAATAGGGTTTCCGTACACTTTGCTGTGACGTTTTTGGACTGCTGGAGAACTAGTTTTTGCGTAACAACAATAATAAAGATTGTAAACAATAACACAAATGATAAACAGACATTTGGTGCATCTCGGGCGTTAGATGAAGATTCACCGTATACTAACTCATATTTGTTTACATTAGATCAGCTGCCTTTGTTTTTGTTGTTTCCAACATATTGTAAGAAATTACAATCATATACAAAAAAATGCCATTTTGCGGAAAAAAGATTATCGGATTAATTTATTCAGTCCTGTAAATTAAAAGTTGCAGGGGTTGCAGCTTAACGCTTTATCAAAAAGTTTCTGCCTTGGGTTGCATTGATGTGCTTTAATTGTACATTCCTGATTTGGTCCTCGATATCTACATCCTCATTGAAAGGAAATTGCCCTGCTTAGAAATCATTCAATTTTCTCTTAATTTCATTTTTTCTTTTTCTCGTTCAGAATTAATCAGGGGGGGGGGGGGTAAATTACCAGAAGATTTTTGTATATAAAACTGTAATACACATTAGGTAAGAAAATGAGTTTCTGCATTGGATTCCTAAATCAAATAAATCTTGATATACAATATATAATATCCATAATTCAAATAGGCTTGATTCATTTTATTCAAAATTCTGGGCTTTCAAACAGAAGAACCCTCCACTGATTTTTTTAGTTATAGGATCCAATGAAGATTTCATCCATATTATTACTTCAGAAAACAAAACAAAATCAGATTTTTTTTAACTAGGTTGGGTTTTATTTAGTTTGAATGGGAGGCTAAAACTTTTGAGTCCTTCTTTTCAAAATATTGATTCGATTACAGATTTAAAGTTAAAGGTTCATAAGGATTTGAATTGGTAATTCAGGGATTAAAGTTGAACTGGTTGTAAGAAGTTCAGCGACCTCTCCAATTCTTTAAATTACCTCACAATTCTAACTGATGTTTCTGTAAATCCCTAAAAACCGGTTTTAGATTTTGAATAATCAATTTTCCTGAGAGAGAAACGTATATGATGACCCCGGTACTCCACATGTCAAGTGCTCTACAGAAAAAACAATTAGATGAAAGAAATGACTTTTGAGTGTCGACACATATAAATTTGGTTTGAATTCAAGCTTTTTATTGTTTCAAGCTATGTTTATAAAATCACAGATTTCCCACTAATTTCGTTTTTAAAGTATATCATGTTTTCTATGCAAAAAATAAAAATGATTAAACAATTTTTTCGATTTGCTCAATTATCTATAAATAGTGGGAAACTGAAATATTGGATACTGAAGTTGATCATAAAACTTCAGATCTAAGATTTTAGAATATAAATTGTGAAAAATATTATGATCATACAAAAGTAATAACGCTCATATCAGTACAAAACAGAATAATACTCTATAAATAAACATAAAGAATAATTCCCTGAAAGTTTAAACCCCCCTAAGGAATAAAGTCTTTGCCACAAACCGTGATTTTCTAATCCCTTTATCTTTGCAACCCAATGTCGTAGACCTTAGATAGTTCAAAGTTTGAATTCCGTTAGACCAAATATCAAATGTTTATACCATCAGGTTAAAATGATATAGTGGTTGGCAAATTTGAGATTGTGGCAACGACTAAATCCCTTTCACCAGAAATCCGAATTTTAACATTGAAGAATCAGTGATACAAAAACTGAAAGGGACTGTAGACGAAATTTTAAGTGATTCACCCTGTAAAGAGTAGCATGTCCGATTCACAACGGTGTTCTTATTCATTTATCCGAGTAAGATAAGATAGATAATAAGGTAGTAATAAGGTAGATGATAAGGTAGATAATAAGGTAGATAGATATTAAGGTTAATGATAAGGTAGATAGATAATAAGCGTAATAATAAGGTAGATGATAATGTAGATAATAAGGTAGATAATAAAGTAGATATTAAGGAATATTGGAATTATGCTAACCGCCAACCGAGGATATCTGCATTTTCACTTGAAAAAAAATGACAATAAAATTGAATTAGGGAAAGCTAGAAAACTCATCAAAATCATTAAAAAAATAGATTTTAGGAACGTAATTTGGCTACCATAACTTCTTCAATTTTAATAATTCTTGAAAATAGTTTTTGAATATCTAAATTTAGCGTAAAATTTCCAAGAAAATTAAGAACATTTTGGATTGCAATATTTTTTTTAGTAAAACATCAGAAACCTCTGGTGAGGGGTTAGCTGATTTCTAAACAAAAAAGTCACAAATCAATCACCCGGATTGTAGATCACGTGGTTTTACTTTCTTTCCTAAAAAGTGTAAAATTTTCACGATTTAGAATAACAAAATTTAAAAATTATCAGAGGTGAGAACTGGTATGTTTATAATCTACAGTTTATCTCTTTTGATTAATTCTACTCCCTACAGGGTATTACCATCACAGGATATCGCAGAGGAATTAATTTAATCTTCAAATCTGCCTAACATGGGGATCAAGGATCGATCCCGAGGTTCACAACACAAAAATTCTGAATTCCGATCCGACAAAGGTTTAAAGGCTAAGTACTGCTATGAATCTGAAATACCACTAACATTGAGAGAATTACTTGAAATAACGTCTACAAACCCTTTAAATCAATTTACCTGTTGAATCCTCGTTTTTTCAGAACATTGGAGTAGAGAACCTTGAATTCAACAACTTTGCATTCAATTTATATATTTTTTTGGAATTAAGTTAGAACAAACAAATTGTTTTTATTCAAAATAATCTATTTAGTTGATGTTTAAAATTCAAAATTTATGAAAATTTTAATCTAAATTAAACCTTATTCTTACAAACAATATTAAAAACCATTTTTTTTGAAAAATATTCGCGATTCAATTTATACAAAATTAAAAGTAAATGTTCTTAATTTGAAAATTAAAAAAAGTTATACATCTATGAATTTATCAATCAATGAATTAATGTACTCAAGGAAGAATGAATTAGTGAAAGAAAGGATGTATTAATGAATGAATGAATAAATTAATGAATTAACAAATCAAATCAAGACTGAACATAGTTAGATCAACAAATGAATTAATGAAATAAGGAATGAATTAAATAATTTAAAAATGTTTTAAGTAAGGATGATTAAAAAGTCAATGAATTACAGAATATATGAATGAATAAATGCAAATGTATTATAAACCTCTGGAGCCAGGTAAGCTGGAGTACCAACAATACTTTTTCGGAAGGATTTCTTTCCGATGATCCTAGCGTATCCAAAATCACAGAGTTTTACCTAGATTCAAGAGTTTTCTACATTTTGGAACTCTTTATATCTTCCTAGATTCAAGAGTTTTCTACATTTTGGAACTCTTTATAACTTCCTAGATTCAAGAGTTTTCTACATTTTGGAACTCTTTATATCTTCCTAGATTCAAGAGTTTTCTAAATTTCAGAGCTCTTTATATCTTCCTAGATTCAAGAGTTTCTGTTACATTTTGGAACTCTAATTATATCCTCCTAGGTTCAAGAGTTTTCTTCATTTTGAAACTCTTTATATCTTCCTAGATTCGAGAGTTTTTTACATTTGATCCTCCTTATTTTAAGAATTTTACCCTTTTGGAACTCTCCCTCCTTAAATTAAATGGGTTTATCCTCCTAGATTCAACAGATTTTTTACAGTTTGAACTCATTTTCTCATAGATTATAGAGTCTTGTACATTTTGAAACTCTGTACCTGTTGAATTCAAGAGTCACTTAAATTTTGGAATTCTGAAATTCAAGAGTTTTTAGTAGTTTGGAACTCTTTAATCTCATTGAAACTTTTGACCCCCATGTTTTAAGACTTTTTAACCTTCACATAATTTAAAAGTCTGCAATCGTCATTGTTGAAAAATAGTATATCACAAAAATAATAAAAGTAGAGTAAAGTACGTTGTACATATTAAAAACCTGTCATTATTGACAACAATTTCAACTAAAAGTTGTCAAATAAACTTTTAATGGTTCTCTTCAGAAAATAAAAATGGAATTTATCATTTTTTTGTCAAGATTCTATAATCCTAAAATAGAATAATATTTACTTTGTCCTAGAGGAGATTGAGAAGAAAAGATTTGGCGCATTTCCATCATATTTTCTCGTACTTTTCTTCATACCAGAATTAAAATATTCTATCTAACTATTCATAATTTTAAAATCTTTGTTGATCGATTTATTTTAACCATCACCCCTTGAGCATGCACATACATTAAACATTCTCCTACTGGTGCCAAACCTTTTAACTAGAAGGTGTGCAAAATTTTAGATTTATTGCAGATTAATTGCAAAACTAAACGTGTTTGCAAGGCTTTTAATATGTTCCCGGCCACCCCGTTTTTAAGATAGTTTTGTCGTTTAACAACTAAATTCAGATCCAGAAACAATATTAAAAGCGTCACAATACTCTATTGGTTCAAAAGCATTATAAAATTAAAATTTTGACCTAAAATTGTCGCTTTTTAAAAGTTACTTCTTTACAATTTGTTGATATTTGGAATTATTTAAAAATTTTAATGAAAAATTAAGATGTGGTTAAAAATGAAAGGGTCTGGTGGAGGGATTCTAACAGGAAAAGGGGTAATCAAAATATGTAGTTATATCTTTATTAATCAATTTTTCTAATCTGTCCATCTGTCCATCTGTTCATTTATCTATCTGTCTATCTGTCTATCTATCTGTCTATCTGTCTATCTATGTTTCTATCTGTCTATCTGTCTATCTGTCTATCCGTCTATCTGTCTATCTATGTGTCTATCTGTCTATCTGTCTATCCGTCAATCTGTCTATCTGTCTATCTGTCTATCTGTCTATCTGTCTATCTGTCTATCTGTCTATCTGTCTATCTGTCTATCTGTCTATCTGTCTATCCGTCTATCTGTCTGTCTGTCTGTCTGTCTATCTGTCTATCTATCTATCTATCTATCTATCTATCTATCTATCTATCTATATATCTATCTATCTATCTATCTATCTATCTATCTATCTCCTACCTGTGGAAAATCTGAATCTGATGATAGAAGAACGTTTTCAGGTTTTAGATCACAGTGTACAATGTTCTAAAAAGGGTAAAAAATAAAAAAAATAAAATAAAATAGAACTTTTTTTTAACAAAATGCGACCATTAAGAATCAGGAACGAAAAAAAAGTAGGGAAGAATTAATAAATTTTTTAATATCAGTTGGAATAATTTAACTCTTAAAACTAGCAAAAAAGGTTCATTTATATAGCTTAAATAGACTGTTAAAGTAAAATGTCAGCCTTAAATTTATTTTAAGTTAATCGCGACCAATACTAAAATCTATTTTACGTCCCTGTATCGAGTAATTGTTATAAAACTGTGTCAACGTTATACAAAAACTCATATATATATGTGATAAGGTATTTGTATTAAAGTTTAAACAGATGATATTCAGCAAATACGGAACAAAGCTAAAAATTAAGATTACCCAGAGGAGTCTAGACATTTTAGCCACGCTCCTATTATAATTTAAATGTAATAATTTTCCAATTTTAGGTTTATTTTTTTCACTATATGGCGTAATTTTTTTGTAAAACTTACACACTGTTTTATATAAATTACTCGAGACAGGAACATCAGATAGAACTAATATTGGTCGCGATCTACTCCTAAAATGTTTAGGCTTCCCCACTTTTCATTTGTATATTCTATCAGCTTCCCTGTAAGCTTTAAAAAGATTTTTCTTTGGTTTTCCTTTTTAATAAATTGGCCTACACTTCTTTTCAACTTTATCAATTTATTTCTTTTTAATTTTTTTTATGAAACAAATTATTTGATACATGTATTTAATGCAGAATGCAGATAATCATTTTTCCAATCTTCTTGTTTCCTGGCTGTCCTGTTATGCTCGTTCAATTAGCTCCATACCCCCGCCCCCCCCCAGGAGGGTTAATATGCAGTTTTGAGATGCTGATCAGGCAATTTGTAGTATTTCAATATCAGCTCTTGAGTTTCTGTATTTATTTCAGTTGTTTTTGATATCGGCCATCTATGCAGGTTTATTGCTGACATTTTTGTATAATGAGAACTTCCCTTTGTCAGCTGCATTACATGTATCAGTGTCTTGCAGTAATTTAGAAAGAAATTAAAAGATCTCCTAGCCTTAACTGCATTCGGCTAGGTTCAAGGTGATTTAGGTGTACCCCCTAGGAAAGGAACACCCAATGAAACCAATGATGATCTCTCTCAGAAATTTTTGATTAATATTCCACAGCCAAGCAGTTTCTGAGTTCCACTATATCTGCTCGTGAAGTAGGATAAGGTTGGAATTTAGGAGGTAGGCGGATGAGGATGGGTGTGTAAGGGTAACAGGTATGAGAAATACCATAGTCCTCACTTTTAACGTGTATTCCCACGTGGACACATTTTTTAAAGAAAAAATAACCCGCTAAGCATGCTGTCCCATCGCTTTAAAACACGGGGAGTGTGTCTTTTGCCGATCATTGTCAGAGGTCTGCCATGAGTAATCCAGTTTCCATTGTGAGGAGGGTGAAAAACCAGTTTATGGTATTTGATTTAAAGTCTATTGAAGGCTCTGTTCCCCCTTAAAACCTGTATCAGCATGTACTTCATCCCTGATGTTTTGAGTCTCTGTATTGCTTCTGTATTCATCTTTATTACTATATCTTCTTTAGGATTAGCCCGCTTTCCACTCAGTTGTGGAGAGAAGTGTCCTTGCTATCTAGACTTCTATACAAGTACAACGCACATAGCGCCCTTTCTGCTGACACCCTTCCTCTGGGAGGCTCGGATACACACTATTGGCCTACACTTCATTTATTCAATCGCTTACCTTACTGTGGAGGTGCTTGAGCGCCACCAGTATCTGTGTAACCAAGAACTTGGTTGTGCGCTCAGACAATCGCGCACGCTCGCTCGAGAGGATCATTTCTAGCATATCGCCTGCACAACAACAAAAATTGAACATCAAACACATTTTTTTAAAAGCCTTGGATGTTAAAAAATGAATGCTTTATTTTCTTAATTGCTAGCTTCTCTTCAAAGCTAGGGTTACTTGAGGATTTCTACTTCAGAAACAATGAAGGATAGTGTCAAAATTAATCACTTTTCAAGCTAGAAAACCTCTTTTCTTATACATTACTGATTTTAAAAAATGGAAGGTTTGATGGAAACTTCTAATTGAAAAAAATAGTCTGTGGGTTTAATAAGAATTGCAATGCGGATCTAATCTTTCTCGCTGTTTGTTTAAAGGGACAGTAACATAATTTTAAGTCACCCTCCATTTGTTGAGTTACAGGTCCCTTTTAATGCTTTACCGGAGCAAAAATGAAAGCCTGTTTTATTTCTAACTAAAAATTGATGGAAATTTAAGTAAAGATGGGCGCGTTCAGCTTTTTACATTTTCTTCGTTTATTATTCAAGTATGACCCATTTCCTTCGTTTAAAAAAATTGATTTCATTTGTTCTCAAAATTTTCGATAATTTTCCATCTATTCCATTCGTTTTTCACTGAAAGATCGTTCAGTAAAATCGTTCTTACAATAAAATCGTTCTTTTAGTAAAAAACTATCGTTTTTTTCAATATCATTCTAAAAATCGTTTGTTCAGTCAAAAAAACTAACGAAATCGTTTGGTTTTTTTTTGTTCGTTCTCAAAAATTTCGTTCGTTCCAAAACTCCGTTCGTTTACAAAAACGATGCCCATCTCTAGTTAAAAGTCCTTATTCAGACACAAGGATAATAATGTACAATATTTGTATCTTTTTAAGAAAGAATAACGACGATGGAAGGTAACGTTATAATTCAGACATAATACGTTGTCGCTTTAGATTACGTCATAAGTCCCTTTAAAAATAAAGAAATTCATTGAAGGAATTCATTGAAATAACAAATCTTAGAAGACCATTATAATGATGAATCAAAAGAAAATGCGATTAACTGTCAGTGCTAAAACAACAAAAAAGAGGATGTACAATTTGTTTTAAACCTTCAGGACAGAAACAAATCGCAAGAACTACGCAGGCATGATCAACCTGCAGACCAAAATATATTTTCAAAATCATCAACACCAAATTTTGATTAACTATTTAAAACAACTGTTTACAGTTTGGATGAACATGAACAAGCCTATTCTGATATTTATTGCTTTCCAAACCAATAAATATTTTCAAAAGAATGCAAAAATGTCAATTAATACGTTAACATTTCTATCCGAATATATTTCTTTCAGAAATATAAAAGTATAAGCAAATCAACCTTGGAGTAAGTTTTACACTCAAAATAAAACCATAAGTGATTTATTTCAAATTTTAAACTTGTTAAACTGAATTTTTAGAGGGATGAACAATAACTGAATTTTGAGGATTTTTTTCACAAAATATATTTTTAGCTGCTACATTGCATGTTTACACTTATGTAAACAATCCAAATAATTCAGCTTTGTCTCCACAAACAAAAACAAAAGGAATAAAGATTAATTACAAAAACAATTAGTAACCCCGGAACATAGCAGGCAGGGGTTCATTTTAAAGGGGCTGTAAGCATAATTTCAAGTGACCTTCCGTTTATAGCGTGGTATCAACCTCATTGTTGTCCGGACAAAGGTTTAAAGGGTACCGTTGTGAATCGGACGACCTCTTGATAAATGGAAGGTCACTTAAAATCTTGCTTATAGTCCCTTTAAGACTAAATCCATTATTCTTACCTTTAAGCTTCTCCATGACAACAAAAATCCTCTCTGGAGTTTCAAACATTTTCTCCAAGTTGACAACTCCGGGGTGATGAATATTCTGCAGGATAGACACCTAGAGTATCATTATTATCATTGTTATTATTCATAATGTAAATTTCAAATTACCGAAAACCCGACAAAAACAACAATATAAAATTCAAAGAATAATTATGACAGTGTTCATGACGTATGTCCTGATTGAATGGATGTACGTGTACTGTTGGCTATAGGAAAAATCCAAGATGAGCGGGAACTTTTTCAAAATAATAAAAAAATTATCGAATATAATTTAATTTTTAGAAATGGCTTTCTACAAGCTGGGGCATTGATTATCGCTGTGCATATTGGAAGCTTATTTTGATTATTTATTGTGAAATAACAGATTTACGAGTATATATAGGTCAAAACTTGCATAGCCAGTTAGCTAATGACGTAAAAGAAATTGTTCCAATTTTTTTTTTTTTTTACATTAGAATTGACTATCGCCGTAATGATTTCACGCAATTTTTTTAAATTTTTTTTGGCAAATTCACTCCCCCTTGCAGTGAGCATCACCCTCCACTGAAACCGTTATTTTTTTCGGTCAGGCAGCGTAGGTGGTAGAATATGAAGCCAGAGTACTATAATGTAATATAATTTTCTGCAGGGCAAGAAGTCGGCTTGGGACAATAAAGCCAAATCAAATTTATTAGGAAAACCGTGGAAGGTGCTGCACGTGCACATGTATTAATATTTTACGAAGAAAGATCAAAGTGCCTTTTAGCAATGTTTTTAATCTTAAATTTCTAATCCTGATTTTTAAAACTATCCAACCCTCCTTCTGTGGAGTGATATGTCAGATTAACAACGGTACCCTTTTTAATCTTAATCTGAGTATCAAATCTTCAAAAGTGTAAAATTCTGATAATTTTCTTCTTCCAGGCATTTGAGAAATTGCCCAGATTCCCGTCTCTGTTTCAATAATAAAAGGAAACTACGATTTGAAATAATCAATTTTCAGATATAGAAAAAATTAATACTGATGTTATTTGAACATTGGACATATATCAGTATATATAGAGTGTCTATATATTTATAAATACATTTTATTCATATATATATTTATAATATATATACATATATAGAGTGTATGAGGATGTTTATTTGTTTTTTTTTATAATAAATTGATTATATTGAGTTTCCTTGAAATTACAGTCCTTTAGAAATATAACTTAAAATAGATATCAGCGCTGATACGTCATCATATTTTCTTATCAGTTTTTTAAGCTTTTAACAATTTTTTAAGTTTCCGTTTTCAGTGTTTATTTTCACAAGTTAATCTCTAAGTTGAAAGATAATCTTTTTCAAGTTCAATTTCAATTTTATCAAGAAATAGAAAAGTTTGAGATTTTAGCTGAGAAACTGTAATATCTTTAAAAAAAAATTACATATATAGAAACTAAAATGTTTTAATCTCTATCGACTGACTTAAAAAGTTTTATACCAATTTTTCTGAAAACATAAAATTGTTTAATAAGTTTAACTCCCCCCTCCACTAACAAAACGGAGCACCCTTTAAGAAAAGTAAATTCAACCTATATGAAGCATAAAATATGACCGCGTCAACCTTGTTGCACTGGCTATAGTCCTGTTGATTGTCTTCTTTATTAACCCAATGTCTGTGCGATGTAGTACAAACTGGGACCGGAAAGGTTGACCCTTATCGGAAACTCAAATGTACTACGGCTGCCCTTGTGAAGGCATCCTTAGAGTTGAATTATATACGATTACTTTAAGTTGTATGTCAACACATAATTTTCAAAGTAAGACAAAAACAGAATTGATGAAACCCTTCCTGTCTTAAAATATATCCCAATCTTCAAATACAGGGGGGCCAATATAAAATGTAACAAGAAGACGACATTACAGAAACCTGAACGGTATATGATGTTGTTATAAATAGTTTTTACAGTAGTTTGAAAAACGTTTAATATGTAATAAATGCCTGTGTTTTATTAATTGGACATTTTTTAATCCTAATAATTGAGTCTAAATGTCGTCTTCCTATTCCACAATTGTATGGCTCCCACTGTATTGTTTTCCTTTTCACCATTTAATTACGCTTTATTTACCTCATTTTTCAGAGCAGCTTCTTGTTTGGTTGGGAACCGCATTTTATCGATCACCTTGATCGCCACCGATCTTCCAGACATTCTAAAAATATCGATCATATTCATTTTAGCTTTTTAAATTCGGAACTGGTAACTTTTTTACCACTGCTATAAGAATCCGCATGCCACTGTTTTGGTGGTGAAACCACAATTAGATCTTATCAATTTTTAGAGATAAAAACAATGACATCCTCATCAGTTTTTCTCGAACCAAGGTTTAAAGGAAACCGATAATCGGGCTCCTTCTTAAATAGAAGGTCACTTGAAACAACGGCCACAGTCCCTTACAAGTTTTATGCTGAATGCATCAATATATTGCGAAGATTAAGAAGACGACATTTGATTCGGCATAAATAATGATTACCTGTGAACACCACCGTAAACAAGAAGACGACCTTTAATTCTGTATAAATGATAATTACCTGTGAACACCACCGTAAACAATACCAAACTGCCCTGATCCAAGAACATCATCTGGGAATATCTGGTACGCCTGGCTGATATCCTAAATATATTGGGGTTAAGGAGAAAATATGATTTTTTTATTTTTGGAAAATGCAAGAATTTAAACAGAAAAATCCGCAAATATTATAGATTAGAATTTTTGGCTTAAAAGCAACATTGAAAAGCTAAAATTTTTACTTAAGATATGGCTTCAAAGCGTCATTAGGTTATGAAATTAAAACTATAGATTATTAGCAAAACTTGCCTATTATGAAGTATAAATCTATTTCTAAAAGGAAAGTTAAAGCGTTTTTCATTTTTATAACTGTTTCTTAAGTACAGCTACAAAAGCATTGAAGGTCAAACATAAAAAACATATGTTTGTTTTTAGTAATTGGATTACCATTATATTTCTCTGAACATATTAAATAATTGACTAAAATTAAATTTGAACGTTGAACAAAGATTTTATACACACATATTACAAATGTATATTTTTACACAACAATAATTTGCAAAGAAACAAAAATTTCTTCTGAAAAATTGGTTTGGGTATTAAAAAAAGAAATGATGACATGTTTCGATAACAATAAAAATAGAAATATATATTCCCAAAACTCCAAACTATATATCTGATAGAACAATTAACCAAAGTGTGTAATATAAAAGGTTTACACAATCAGGAAGCAAGTTTATCGGGATTATAAACATAAAGTTTGGTGCAAGTATTTATTACGTTTTTAATATTTCGGAGCATCCATACCTTCTCCTTCTCCTGAGCTGAAGGTGTCGGAGCAGCAGCAGATTTATCTGCTCCAGGCTTAGCAGCTCCTGATGCTCCTCCCTCTACTGGCATCAGTGCCTAGGAGTAGCAAATATTTAGGAAAGAATAGAAGACCTTATTGATAAGCTAAGGCGAAACAATAACAATTGAAAATAGGGAAAATTATGAAAAAAAATTTAATTAAGAAAAATAATAGAAATTAAAGATTAGAAAAAAATCTAAAAGAATATCTAAAAAAAACAGACAAGTATATAACAAAATTATAATGAAAGAAAAACAACAAAGAAAAAAACATCATTTCAGATCTGAAATAAAAATTCTGAAAAACTAAAAATATAAAATTAAAAATTAAAATTTAAGATTTTAAGAATAAAAGAATGTAAATTGAAGACTAAATATGAAAATATTCTGTTTACAGACTAAAAATAATGCAAAATTTAAAAGCAGGGGATCTAAATCGGTGTATGTATATTGTAAAGACTTAAAAAAGGCCTTAGAGTAAAGGTATAGGGTTAGTGTCAAACATTATGCTAGGGGAAAACATTAGAGGTGGTTGGCGTTTAACACCCCGCCCCCCAGCCTGTTCAGGGTTTAAAAGATTCTTTATTACCTGTCGAATGGCTGTTTCCCACTTTTGAACAGAAACATCATCACTACCAGTAGCACCAGCCTCAGACTTAAATCAATCAATCAATCAATTAATCGATCGAAATAAAAAACATCAAACCAAAAGATTTTAGAAAATGAATATAATCGATCATTCCGTAAAAAGCAGGGTCGAGTCTCCACCAAAAAAGCATGGTATATTTATGTAATGATCATGTAATGGACCCTCCTCCCCCTCTTTCAAAAAGAGCAACCCTCTGTGATAATACTATTCCAGGATAACGTTAGATTTTATAAAATTTATGAAAACATATTCGAATCGATTTTGCCTACGTCCTACCCCTAAGTCCCTCCCCCCCACTGTTCAAAGGGAGTGTTCGCGAAAAATGAAAGGGGATATAGGCTTAATGCAATAAAAAAGCGTTTTCGATCGCTACTAATCTTACTTCTTTCTGTGAGTCTAAAGGGAGAAAATTGCTAAAAACGACTCACACCGAAGAACGCAGCGTCCATACAAATTCGGAAAGATGCAACATTCAACTCGGATCGTAAACAAATCAATTTAATTCCAAACAAATCATTCAGATATTACAAAAAGTAGTCACCGATTATTTTTCGACAGATTCGTATAAAGTTAATATTTCATAATATTTTTGATTTAAAAAAAAAATAATTTTCGCTGTCGCTGGATTTTTAACATTCCTGGAAAATATAAAAATGTCGTCTACATTATCAAAAATCCTCGAAACAGGAATAAATGTTTTCAAAAGTAACTCTCAGATCATGAAAAATACAAAATATTATGAAACTATTTACGAATGCGTTGAAAAATAATCGATGACTATTTGTTTGTAATATCTGAATGATTTGTTTCGGAATTAAATTGATTTGTTTACGATCCGAGTTGAATGTTGTGAGTCTATAGGGAGAAAATTGCTAAAAACGACTCACACCGAAGAACGCAGCGTCCATACAAATTCGGAAAGATGCAACGTTCAACTCGGATCGTAAACAAATCAATTTAATTCCAAACAAATCATTCAGATATTACAAAAAGTAGTCACCGATTATTTTTCAACACATTCGTATAAAGTTAATATTTCATAATATTTTTGATTTAAAAAAAAAATAATTTTCGCTGTCGCTGGATTTTTAACATTCCTGGAAAATATAAAAATGTCGTCTACATTATCAAAAATCCTCGAAACAGGAATAAATGTTTTCAAAAGTAACTCTCAGATCATGAAAAATACAAAATATTATGAAACTATTTACGAATGCGTTGAAAAATAATCGATGACTATTGTTTGTAATATCTGAATGATTTGTTTTGGAATTAAATTGATTTGTTTACGATCCGAGTTGAATGTTGCATCTTTCTGAATTTGTATGGACACTACGTTCTTCGGTATGAGTCGTTTTTAACAATTTTCTACTTATAGACGGAACAGGTAGAAGTAAGATTAGTAGCGATCAAAAGCGCTTTTTTATCGCATTAAGTCTATACCCCCTTTCATTTTTCGCGAACACTCCCTTTAAATTTAATAATAATGTACTGCATATTTACCTGTGTATCCTGGTTGACCACAAAGTTGATGTTTGCAGTACGTATCTGGAAACTGGACGGGTTATCACCGTCAACATCGATACTGAGAATCTCACTCAACGGAATTTCCTAAATTTAAGTAGATATATTGATTGATTGATTTTTTGATTGGTTGATCAATTGACTAATTGATTAGTTGATTGCTTTATTGATCGATTAATTTATTGATAGATTGATTTATTGGCTCATTGATTAATTGATTATTTAATTGATTGATTGATTTAATGATATATTGATATATTGTTTGATTGAATAATTAATCATATTGATTAATTGACCAATTGATTAGTCAATTTATTAATTGGTTGAGTGATTAATTGATCAATTGATTAGTCAATTTATTAATTAGTTGATTAATTTATTGATAATGATTCATCGGTTTAGTGACTAATTGATTGATTTATTGGTTAATTGATTGTTTGATTAGTTAATTAATTAATTGGTTGATTGATTTATTGATAGATTAATTTGTTGGTTGATTCATTTATTGGTTGATTGATTAACTGATCAATTTATCAGTTGATTGATTTATTGGTTGGTTGAAAAATTGATCAAATGGTTAATTGATTGATTAATTGGTTGATTAATTAATTGATTAATTTATAGAAAAGTTACACTGAACTAAACATAAGGAGAAGGTCAATTTTGTGGGACATTACTAGTTCGACTTTGCAACCTCTTAGTTCCTAAATTTTTGTATGAAATTTTCGAGTAACCATATCGCACCAATGGCAAATGGGAACGAGAACGATAATTGGTCCAGTCAAACTCTGAACATAGCATATTTATAATTTTACTCACTAATTGGTTTAAAAATTCAATATTAAAAGCAGGTTTTTGAAATTTAAAAACAAGAATTTGAATGAATCATTATGAAAAATTGCATTGCAATATTTTTATTTTTGTGACGACAGATTGATTCATAAGTTTGATTCATGTTCTTTTTAACTGCATACAACTGAAAGTTGTTGATTAAGGAGTTTCTTAATTTTATTACGTTTGTTTCAATATTTAAACATATTTTATTAATTTCTAAAAATAATCGTTAATTTGATTCAGACATTTTAAACTTAAAATAGGTTAAGTTATTTTAAGAGAGTTTAATACTTTTATATAAAGTGTGTTCAGTCCTTTAATTTTACATTTATAATAGATTCAGTCCTTTAATTTTACATTTATAACAGATTCAGTCCTTTAATCTTACATTTATAATAGATTCAGTCCTTTAATCTTACATTTATAATAGATTTGTATTTTAATCTTATATATAATATATTTAGTCCTTTAATCTTACATTTATAATAGATTTAGTCTGTTAATCTATTGGTTTACAATTTACATTTCTTTTAAAGTAGGTTTAGTTATATTTGAATTCTATACTTAAAAAATTCATCCAATTTTCCTGTCTGTTTCCTTTTATTAACAATTTCCTTCAACTTTAAGCTTCTTTCGTTCTTTGCTTAATCATTAAAGAAGCCATTTATAGACTACATTCAAGGCAGAAACCTTAATTTAACATTGGGATCTTCATTCAGCCTCATCCTTTGTGGGTTTCTGTTTTATCTGTATTTATTTAATTAACATTTTTCTTTTGTTATTTTATCACATTTATAATGATGGGCATCATGTTTGTATTATACTTCAAAATTCAATTTTTTTGGGCTGACAAGTGGCTCCAAAGTATCTGCAAAGCGTGTTTCTAAATTTAGTTCTCAACCAGTTAACGACATGATTTTATTCTCAACCAGTTAACGACATGATTTTAAAAACCTCTGGTTTGTTCAAAAAACACAATAAAGAGGATACCCTACATTTGTTTGTTTGTTTGTTTACCTTGTAGAACTTGTTTCCTGTATCAGAGGTGAACATTGTGATGCATTTAGAGTCAAGCCTCCAGTAATGTTTTTTCCTACAATAGCAAAATTAAAGGGACGGCTAACAAATACTTTGGATTAAAGAGACATCTGATAAATAATCTGTATTAAAGGGACAGCTGACAAATAATCTGTATCTAAGGGACGGCTGAAAAATAGTAGGGACAGCTGCCAAATATCTGTATTACAGGAACAGCTGACAAATATTCTTTATTAAAGGGACGACTGACAAAAAAGTATGTATTTAAGGGACAGCTGACAAAATATCTGTATTTAAGGGACAGCTGACAAATAATCTGTATTAAAGGGACTGCTGACAAATAATCTGTACTAAGGGGACAGCAGACATCAAATTTGTATTAAGGGACAGCGAAAAATATTTTGTATTTAGAGGACAGCTGCAATATAGTCAGCATTAAAGGGACAGCTTTCAGATGGTTTGTATGAAAGGGACAGTAGAAAAAGAATCTGTATTAAAGGGATGGCTAACAAATAATCTGTAAAACTGTGTTAAAAGCAGGGGAACAAAATCTCATATCCCACCCTCCCCATCTTCTTTTCCCTTCATTAAATATACACTGCATTTTTTTATTTGAAAACTAATTTAGATATCTATCATCGAAAATAATTTCACAAGTATACTATATAGGTTGATTAAGCAAAAACAGTAACAAATACCATTTTAAACACTGAAGTCTTCACTAATTGATTGATTGACTGATATTTAAAAAAACTTACTTGGTAGTATCCTTGTTTGTATTATGGAGAAGCCAACCCTCCCTCAGGATCTTAGTCCCAACACGTTTAGTCTGAATAAATAATAATAATAATAATAATAATAATAATTATGATAATAATAATAATAATAATAATAATAATAATAATAATAATAATCATAATAATAATAATAATAATAATAATAATCATAATAATAATAATAATAATAATAATAATAATAATAATAATCTTACATGCTTAATACTCTGAACAAGTCTCTGAACAGGAATGTAATCTGCAGAACTTCCTTGGGTGGCTAAATAGATAGATATAGATAGATAGATATACAGGTAGATAGATAGAAAGAAAGATATAGATAGAAAGATAGATATATAATAGATAGATAAATAAATAAATAGATGGATGGATAGATAGATAGTTAGATAGATAGATAGATAGATATAGGCAGTCAAAAGTGAAAAATTATAAATGTTTATCAACAAACTTTACAAAGAATGAAACATAATTACATTGATTGGCACTTGAAAGTATTTGGGTCTCATTGATTGGAAATAAATTTTATGAAACTGTTGTGTACTTTATCATTCTTCATCACTTCATCGTGAATTTCAAAATGAACGTGCTATAAAGTATAATTAGCTGTACATTATTGCAGCACGTGTGCTATAAAGTTTTAATTGGTTCCCGGATTTTCGCTAAATTATTTTTTTTCAATTAAAAGGAAAATAAATTTGTTTTAACTTTATATTTTGACTTCTGGCTTGATCTGTAGAAATAGCCATTGAAATAAGACGATTACACAAACGTTTCAAAAAATTACCTATAACACTATTATTTTGGCACGACGTGCTGTAAAGTTTTTGGACTTAAATTTTCTCTAAATCTCGAAGGTTCTCGCCTTTTTAGATTACATTTTGATATTCTCGATAAAGAGAAAATTTCTTTCCAAAAACTTTATAACACTGCGAACCAAAATAATAGTGTTATGAATAGTTAATATAATACTTTATATTTCATATTACAAATGTCAATGACAGAAGAGACCGGAGGGAAAAAGAATAATATTATGTAATAAAGAATTATTTATTATTTATCAATATATCTATATTATAACTTATACATTTACACCCAATACTTCATTTTCAATTTTATATTTTTTTTGCGGGGGGGGGGGCGGTTTGGCGTGAAAATTATACTTCAACCATTTTTACAAATAAAAAAATGTGTAAATTTTTATTGGCATTTTTACAGAATAATAGTTTTTTGTTTTAATATCAGACTTAAATTGTTTCATTTAAAAAAAAATCGAAATAAAATGCTTGTAAAAATTTATATTTTATCCTGAAAGAAGGAGAAATATATATTTCTTGAGAATGTTTTGTAACATAAATATTTAATACCACATTGATACAGACTGCTATGGAAAAGTTTCATAAATATTTAAAACACATTGCCCTTTGATTTTACTTTAGTAACTTATTTAAGCTTTTTTTTGTGTCCCATTTTAAATAAGGAACACGCATGTTTTTAGTTTTGGTTCTTAAAATTGTCAAAATTCTCATCAATTTTCGCGCGAAAGCTTGCAACCTTTGCACATATTTTGCAAAAATGTAAGTATGTTTTTAATATGCGCTTAACAACTAGACAAATTTAACATTTTAAATAATTTAGCAAGAATATTATTTTCATAAATTATTTAAACAAGCTCAGAAAACCATAATCTTAACTTAAGAAATTGGAACTTTTAAATATTCAAATTTAAAACACAGAATATTTTTATATTTTTTTTCAATTTTGATGGAATTTATCACACCTAATATTTCCCGTTGTAGGGTGGTTAAGTGACTTTATCGCCCTACAACAGGGCGAAAAGTAACTTTATCGACCTGCTTCAAAATTTTAAATTTCATACCTAATTTGTCTCATTGTAGGGTGATAAAGTTACTAAATCACCCTACAACAGGGTGATAAAGTTACTAAATCACCCTACATCAGGGTGATAAAGTTACTTAATGACCCTACAACAGGGTGATTTAGTAACTTTATCGATCTGCTTTTAAATAATTTGAGTAAAACTGAATAAAACTTATATATGTTATTGGAATGGGTATCATGCGTGCGAAAAAGTTCTGTGTGAAAATACTTTCATTTTGATCTTAAACAAACTAGAAAAAATAAAAATCCCGACAAAAACTTTTTCGCACTTAATAATACCCATTACAATGACATAAATAGATATTTTAACATATAAATGAGATTAAAAAGTTCAAATCCAATAAATCGATAATCAATTAAAGCCCTTAATGTGCGCTTTATCGGAAATTACCATTTACAGCTCTATCTATAGATACACTTTTTATTCTGAGGATATATATTTTATTGGGCAGATGATGAAGCAGAAGCTGAGCTATAACAGACAAACAACTATCTAGAGTGGCTGGATAGAGTGGAAAACTTGATGAGTGACAAAGAGAGAGATCTGGTGTATGATACAGAGGATCTGGTTTGGATAGATAGGTTGCTAAGTGACGAGTATAAAGCTAAGATTGAAGCCTTACTGAGCAATGAGTAGTTTTTAACACTGATGGAAGCTAAACACGGTTCGTTTAACAATTGGTATGGGGTAATCAGGCAGTAAATCCCAGCATGGGTATGTTAATACAACAAGAAGTGACAAGTACCGAGCGTAGAAACAAAGGTGGAGGAAAGGAATCAAGGCCAAGAGAGAAAAATCAACAAGACAATGAAGGCTGAGAGAAAAGGGAAAGCAAGAAGGTTCAAACTGAAGATATGGAAAACGTGCAAAGAAAGTGATCCAAAGAGTTATTCTAAAAACCAAACACATTATGAAAAATCCAAAGCTATATCCAGAACAAATACGGATTTAGACGGGTACAGCAAGGACAGTAAGAAAGCTAAATTGGTTCCAATCAACCAGAAAGTTCAGAGAGACAGCCAGCAGAAGAGAAGGGAGTAAGAACACGTCTTACAGTTGTCAAAACAGGTTCTAACCCTCCTACCCTTATCGCCCCCATCATTTGGGATCAATATATTATAGCTTGTTGTATAGCTAGGCTTATTCCCTGTGTGGTATTTAGAGAACCAGATTGTCCCCATCATTTGGGATCGATATATAGCTTATTGTATAGCTAGGCTTGTGTCCCTGTGTGGCATTTAGAGCACTGGCTCGTCCTCATCTTTAGGATCAATATATAGCTTGTTGTATAGGTAGGCTTTTGTCCCTGTGTGGCATTTAGAGCACTGGATTGTCCCCATCATTTGGGATCGATATATAGCTTGTTGATAGATTGGCTTTTGTCTCCATCATGTGTTTAGAGCACTGGATTAGTAGCTGGATTTTGATAGCTACGTCTGTGTCCCTGTGTGGCATTTAGAGCTTGGGATTCAGTCCTGGTGAAGCATGGTATTAGTAGCTGGATTTTGATAGCTATGTCTGTGTCCCTGTGTGGCATTTAGAGCTTGGGATTCAGTCCTGGTGAAGCATTGTATTAGTAGCTGGATTTTGAAAGCTACGCTTGTGTCCCTGCGTGGCATTTAGAGCTCGGGATTCAGTCCTGGTGAAGCATTGTATTAGTAGCTGGATTTTGAAAGCTACGCTTGTGTCCCTGTGTAGCATTTAGAGCTTGGGATTGAGTCCTGGTGAAGCATTGTATTAGTAGCTGGATTTTGAAAGCTACGCTTGTGTCCCTGTGTGGCATTTAGAGCTTGGGATTCAGTCCTGGTAAAGCATTGTATTAGTAGCTGGATTTTGATAGCTACGCTTGTGTCCCTGTGTGGCATTTAGAGCCTGGGATTCAGTCCTGGTTGAGTTTGATAGCGGGACGGCTTGTACCTGTATAGATACATTAAAAAGGGATACAAGATACAAAGGTACTGGGGATACAAGATGCGGAGATACCAGGAATACAGAGATACAGGAAAAAAGAAATTCAGAGATACAGGGATATCGATATACAGGGATACAGAGATATACGGATACAGAGATACAGGGATACAGAGATACATGTATACACAGATACATGGATACAGAGATACAGTGATACAGGTTAGAAAAAGTAAAAAGAGGAAAAACATTTATTTATTCCTAACATGTTTTTTATATTCTGACCACACAAACTGTATTAGAGAAATCAACATTATGGTCACAATTATTTATTTATTGCTAGAAGTTGAAAAAATAAGAGTACCTGGAAGGATGGGGGGGGGGGGGTAGGAATACAAGTATGTGTAAGGACGGGGGATTAAGTATAGATTATTTTTTGTGGGAAATTTACTTTAAACTTAGTTGGAGACAGAACCCTGGTGAAGTTTAAAAGCTAGAAATCAATGAAAAAAAAATCCAAGAAAAATATCTTACCAAGATGAGATTCAAAGTTACTTGGAGTAACAACAGTCCCTTCCTCAGTGTCTGGGGAGCCCCTGGAAAAAAATGTTGAAAACAAATGTAAAAACAAATATTTGTATTATTGGTATAAATAACAAATATGTACAATGCACATCAATATCGAAATATTATACTCACAGATGATGAGCAACTAATAACGACCTTAAATTCTTAAAACAGTCGTCCATCTTTTATTTAGTTTTTCATCCGTGCACTTAATTATTTGAAAGGGCCACAGTTTAAAGCATAGGGCACTAATGAACCAGGGAAACAGGGAACCAGGGAACCAGGGAACCAGGGAACCAGTGAACTAGGGAACCAGAGAAACAGGGAACCAGTGAACTAGGGAACCAATGAACCAAGGCACCAGGGAACCAGTGAACTAGGGAACCAGAGAACCAGGGAACCAGGGAACCAGGGAACCAGTAAACTAGGGAACCAATGAACCAGGGAACCAGGGAACCAGTAAACTAGGGAACCAGTAAATAGGGAACCAGGAAACCAGAGAAACAGAGAATCAGGGAACAAGAGAACCAGGGAACCAGGGAACCATAAACGACGGTTTTAAAACCGGTGCTATGTCTTTAAAGAATCATTGTTTGTGGGCACATAAATTGCAAAAGTGTGCACAGTCCCTTATAAGCTTTCAGAAACTTCAATCCCTGCTAAACAAAATATTCTTTTTGCACAATATGTTTGCAGAAATAACTAAACCGTTTAAGAAATAATTTGCAGTGTTTTCAAAAGAAAATGATTTTCTAAAAGTAAAAAAAAGGAACTGGATACTTGTACCGTTATCTTTGCAACCTGATGGGGTTTACCAACGATATTTGCAACTTGAACTATTTCAAAACGCAATTACAAGCGATCCGTCATTAATATAGCGGAAATTCTGATTCATAACAGTAGCTTGGATAGCTTTTTATGATCAATTTAAGGTTTAAAGGGTACCGCTTCGTAGAAGAAGGGTCACTTGAAATCAAATTTTATTGATGAAGAACAATCAAAAATATTTCGAATTTAATTGTGAACATTTATTAACCCTGCATATGCTGTAAGAAAAAAGTATGCATTCAGGCAGTATGCCTGAGTACTTTGGATTGTGATTAACACTTCTAGGCGTGGACCTAAAACTGGGACATACTAAAAGGTTATAAAACAAAACATTGTAAAATGTTTTACACTATCACTTTGGAAGGAAGAGGACCATTGCGGCAAAATTGCGCCCCCCCCTTCTAAATAGGGTTAAGGTTAAATTTACCTGCTCTTGGCATCCTCCCCCTCGGAGTCTTCACCAAACCTCTCCTCCAGCTCCACACTTCCCTCAGATACTGCTCCATCCACACTTCCATCAGGAACCTCACCTGATAACATATTCATCATTATTAAACACTTCCCTCAGATACTGCCTCATCCACACTTCCATCAGGAACCTCACCTGGTAACATATTCATCATTATTAAAAACTTCCCTCAGATACTGCTCCATCCACACTTCCATCAGGAACCTCACCTAACATATTCATCATTATCAAACACTTCCCTCAGATACTGCTCCATCCACACTTCCATCAGAATTCAGGAACCTCACCTAACATATTCATCATTATTAAACACTTCTTTCAGATACTGCTCTATCCACACTTCCATCAGGAACCTCACCTAACATACTCATCATTATCAAACACTTTCCTCAGATACTGCTCCATCCACACTTCCATCAGGATTCAGGAACCTCACCTAACATATTAATCATTATTAAACACTTCCCTCAGATACTGCTCCATCCACACTTCCATCAGGATTCAGGAACCTCACCTAACATATTCATCATCATTAAACATTTCCCTCAGATACTGCTCCATCCAAACTTCCATCAGGAACCTCACCTATCATATTCACCAATATTAAACACTTCCTTTAGATACTGCTCCATCCACACTTCCATCAGGAACCTCACCTAACATATTCATCATTATTGAACACTTCCCTCAGATACTGCTCCATCCAAACTTCCATCAGGAACCTCACCTATCATATTCACCAATATTAAACACTTCCTTTAGATACTGCTCCATCCACACTTCCATCAGGTACATAAACTAACATATTCATCATTATTAAACATTTCCCTTAGATACTGCTCCATCCACACTTCCATCAGGTACCTAAACTTACATATTCACCATTATTAAACATTTCCCTTAGATACTGCTCCATCCACACTTCCATCAGAAACCTTACTCAACACACAGATATCTAGAAAACTATGAAAGTTGTACTCCAGAACCGGAGGGGGAGGCGGCAAGAGGCCCATTGCCCCCAAACTGTAAGCTAATATAAGCACCTGTACAGTACGTATAGTTTATGTAACTATCCACCGTACAATGCACAGTACAGCATAGTTGTGTACATGTACATTAGAGTTTATGTACAAGAACTCTGTAGAATTTATGTACCTGTACAATCCCTGGGAACCTTCTCTGAGCATCGTTTATGAGCGTTAAACCTGCAATCCTTGCACTGTACTCCTTGCTTGAATACTCCAACCAAGATCTAATAAAGGAACAAAGTTAGCCCTAGAAGTCTTTAAACCATGGAGGGGGTGGGCGGAGTACAATTCTTACAACGTACTCCATGCTTGAATACTCCAACCAGGATCTAATAAAGGAACAAAGTTAATCCTCGAAGTTTTTAAAACATGGAGGGGGTGGGGGGAGTACAATTCTTATAAAAGAAACTCAAAGATGAACTAGATTGCCATTACCATGATCTGGAAATTAAAAAAAGATCGGTAAATTAAAGCAAAACTTTTAGAGAAAAAAAATAAAATTAAGTCGTTAGTTTTTAGTGATTCTTCCATGAATACAAGTAAATAAAATCAATTTCAAATTTTCCACGTAAATATCTACGTAATTTTTTAAGAAGTTTGTCGAGAGTAATCTTACTTCTTAGAAAGCTCTCCATTAAACTGTACATAGTTTGAAAACTGCATATAGTTACACATTTTGTTATGATCAAGCAATGATCTACATCTTAAGCAGACCAACGGAGTCAATTATTTCCTCTTTGAAATCCTGTAATGGTAATAGCTTGCGGGGATAATTTTAACAAGTAATCAAGTTAATTTTAACAAAGTAATCAAGTTAATTATTTTATCACCAAAGAAATGGAGTCTTAGCCACAAATTCCAATTTTTTGATCTTAATATCTTTGCAACCCAATGTTTAATACCTCACTATGAAATCTGGTAAATCAAGAAGTCTAAGTTTGAAAAATCAAAGGTTTACACCATAAAGATGCAAATATATAGGGATCAGAAGATTTGAGTTTGTTCCAAAGACTCAATTCCTTTAAAATACCCACATTGGATATCGAGACTAAGCTTTTAAGATTAACGATACTTCGCACAAAAGTTTTTATCTCAAGAATTTTTTTTCCTTTTCCTCGCATGACTAATTCATCTTCGACCGAATATTTTTCTCGACAAAAAATAGATCTTTGCATATAGTTACATGTATTTGAATATTTTTAACGTTATTAAATGCATAATAACACGTAAATTGTTAAAAAGTATGATTATACAATTTGGAACACTCCTCTTCTACACGAAGTTTTGGTTAGGCTTTAATGGGTTTAATGGAGCAGACATAATTAAAATTAAGAAACTTTAAGGAAATTTTAGATTAGATTACTTCATTTTAAATAAAAAATATGGGTTTGCAAAAATAAAAACTATAAAATATAGAATCTAAAATTATTAGGCTTGCATTTTATCGAAGATTTTTAAGATAATTTTTTGCATATTAAAAATTTAAACATTATACTTGTAGCTTTTCAATTAAAGGAGTAAATTTACTTTAGTTTGACGTGATTCACGTAAATTTACTTTAGTTTGATGTGATTCACGAAAGTTTACTTTAGTTTGACGGGATTCACGTAATATTACTTTAGTTTGACGTGATTCACATAAATTTACTTTAGTTTGACGCGATTCACGTAAATTTACTTTAGTTTGAAGTGATTCACGTAAATTTACTTTGGTTTGAGGTGATTCACGTAAATTTACTTTAGTTTGACGTGATTCACATAAATTTACTTTAGTTTGAGGTGATTCACGTAAGTTTAATTTAGTTTGACGCGATTCACGTAGAATTACTTTAGTTAGACGTGATTAACGCAAATTCACAATTTACTTAAGTGTGACGTGATTCACGTAAATTTAATTTAGTTTGACGTGATTCACGTAAATTTACTTTAGTTTGACGTGATTTACGTAAATTTACTTTAGTTTGACGTGATTCACGTAGAATTTACTTTAGTTTGACGTGATTCACGTAAATTTACTTTAGTTTGACGTGATTCACGTAAATTTACTATAGGTAGACGTAATTCACGTAAATTTACTTTAGTTTGACGTGTACCTTGTTGCAGAAGTGGCATTTAGTTGGTTTAGTGTAGGTATGCAGGACAAATGTATGAGGTATCTTCAACCTTGTTGCCATCTGCATATCCACCCAGGCAGGTCGACCTATTATTATCAATATCATTATTATTATTATTATTATTATTATTATTATTATTATTATTATTATTATTATTATTATTATTATTATTATTATTATTATTATTTCATCATTTGTTCATTCTTTTATTTTTTATAATTTTATAATTTATTCCGTCATTCATAAATTCATTCATTTATTCTTTTATTCGTCCTTGTATGCATTTACTTATTTTTTAATGATTTCCCCATTATGCATTACTAGTAAACCTTCCCTTCCTTTTATTTCTGTATTTATGAATCTCTATTTTGAGAAACTTTACACCTGATATTTCTTGAATAAGTATTTAAATCAATTGGGAAATTAGACGATAAACTAAAAATACATCTACTATTTAGTAAGGTATGGAATTCAGCATTATGTGGGACATAATCATTCAGAATATGAGGAAAAGAGTGCTGTATGCTGTAAACTTGGATAAAACTCTAAATTCCAATTAGAACATCAAGATTTATTATTATTATTATTATTATTATTATTATTATTATTATTATTATTATTATTATTATTATTTTTATTATTATTATTGTTGTTGTAGTATAACATTACTTTATATAAGTAGGTAAATAAATTGGTTCGTAAATAAACAGTCAAAGAAATGATTCTATAATTATTACCAGTATCAGTTTTAACAATTTTTCCCAACCCCTAAAGAACCTTGATTATACGAATACGTACTTTTATTGCAAAATATGAAAAGTAGCTACTTATCTTGCGTGATGTATATAAATATACCGCTAAATATGCATATATATAAATTGCATTTAGTTAAAGGAAATATATAAGTACAATATACATTTGAATAATTTTATATTACTGGCATTAATTTATATTAAACATCGCCCTACCGTATAAAGCATTAATATAAAAGTTAAAGCCAGGGTTTATATTTCCAAGAATCAGTCCCTTTCCTCCCTCCCCCCCCCCCTCGGAAAATTATTCTTATTTCTCTGAGGCAAAAATTAATAATAATTTTAATTAACAACATACCTTTTCCCAACATAAAAATTTCTATTTTAGGGACAAATCAGCGATAATCAGGGGGGGGAGGGAAATTAATTTTTAAGGAAATAAACACCCCTGAAACTCTGCAGTTTACTCAGGGTGGAACACATTAGTGAGGCAACAGAAATTTATCGAAGTAAAAATAAAATTCTTTTATTAGAAAATTTATCAAAACATTAAATTTTATAAACGTTCAGTAGAACACCATATTTTCTCCAGAATAACCCCCACCCACACCCCAAACTGTACCTATACAGTTCATAATACAAACTTCATATAAACAAAACTACTGATTAAAAACTAAAAGGATGTGTAAAACAACGCTAAATCGTGCAAAAAAAAACAACTTGTGAAAGAAGAAGAAAACTCTGTTTTTTCAAGAACTTTTCAGATACAATATCTTAAATTTCTATTTAGATCTAAATCTGCAGCTTGCCGGAAACTCTCATTTTCAATAACTTTGTAACCTGAAGTCGTAGATTATGTAGTTTGCTTGATAATATTGTTTAAGGGTTACTCCAGCAGATTGCAATGATACAGAGATTTGAAAATTTGACTTTGTGTCAACTAATTGCAATTCCTTAAAAAAGTTAATTCTTGCAATGTGTGCTAACCAAATCACACTTTCTCAGTGCGTTGCAAATTTTTGTTTTTCACGCACATCAATCAGTTTACCATAGGATTTCCTACATCGGCAAAAACACTTTTTTTTTCGTGAACGAGAATTTAGCACATTTTTTATCTTTTGCGCAGATCGTTTCAGTCTTCCTTTATCACCAGCATAAACTGGACACACAAAAAAATGATAAATAAACAAAACAAAAAAAGTTAAGTTTTATGCAAAAATAAAAAGTGTAAATATATAACTAAATCAAATTTGTTTTAAAGCTGAGATATATGAATACATGAAAATGATTAGCCCTAGAAATATAATTTATGAAAAATAAAAAAAAGCCAAACATGAATCTCAACAATTTCTATTGAATGAAGACTTAAAAATCAATCATTGATCTTTGATTGCCAAAATAAGGATAAATGATAAATTATAAATCATAAAGGATAAAATCAATTTAACATGTTGATGAAACTAAAGAGAGGTTTAAAGGGCACCATCGTTAATTGTACATTTAATTTGCTTGAAATTCCTTGTACTGTCCCTTTAATATTGTATGTTTACCATGGATTCCTCCCGAGCTTGAATGTCGTTTAGTTCCTGGGCTGACCGATCCATCTCTAGCTGGAGGTAGAAGGAAGTTGGACCCTGCAATAACAAGGGACTTTACACAAACATTTTTTAAATCTTTTGATAAAAATATATATTATTCACATTTAAATATAAATATATTATTTAAAACAGCAATGATAAAGTACTCCTGAGGCCGAATTTAAAGTATTTGAGCCACGGCTCAAATTTAAGAAGCGGCTAAAACATGGTTGGTTCCACTTAAAATTGTATTCGAGATTTTTTGATCCGGCTCTTAATTGGAACTAGTTTTTGGCGGTTCAGCGACGCGGTTTTTAATTCTTTAAATTCGGTCTCTAGTATATGAATTGACCTTTGGACCTTTCTCTTTAACTTGACTTTAATCTAAACCTTTCACCTTTAACTTAAACAAAACCTTGAACTGGACTTAAATCTTTTTCCTCTTAAATTTATGATTGTAAACTTGATTTCAGCTTGAATTTGAGCTTGTCTTTAAGCTTGACTTTAAACTTGACTTTATACTTGACTTCAAGCTTGAATTTAAGCTTGAATTTAAGCTTTACTTTGATCTTGACTTTTAGCTTGCTTTTAAGCTTGAATATAAGCTTGACTTTAATCGACTTTACGTTTGTTTTTTAGCTTGACTTTAAGATTGACTATATGGTTGATTTTATGCTTGCCTTAAAGCTTAACTTTATGCTTACCATTAAGATAGCTTCAGATAGATTCATTAAAGCTTGAGCTTAAGCTTGGGTTTTAGTCTGAGCTTGAGCTTGAGCTAGTTTGATTTTTTAAGTCTGAATTTGAGCTTGACTGAAGCTTGGCTTAGCTTGACTTAAGCTTGAGTTTGACCTCGATTTAAGTTTAAATAGTAGCTTGATTTCAGTTTGGGTTTGGCATCGATTGGTCGAAATTAATTTGACTTATCTTGACTTAAGATTGACTTAAGCTTAACTTAAGCTTGACTTGAACTTGATCAATTGACTTAAGCTGGACTTACCATCGATAGATGTTGCTCCGACAGATGAGCTGTATCCTAGGCTTGTTGAAGAGGATGCTGTTGAGCCTAAAATATTCAAAAGGTTTGTAAAAAATTATTATTTTTTCATCGTTTATTATGTATGTATATTTTTATTTAAACTCTTATATATGTCGTGACACTTTTTTTTGGTAAGTTAATTCTTAATAGATTAACTTAACTTAACTTAAAATTTTCGGATTAAGCTAAAATAAAGTTTCTACTGCAGGGATATTGAGATTAGCGCTATCAAACACAAAAGTTCTGAGCTCAGAGCAAAGTAATTTCATAGTGAAACCTTCATATACATATATCAATACAATGAAGACAACTTTTGATTACAATGTTTGATTTCTACCTTGCTTTCAAGCAGCAGGTATATAAATAAACAGCTTGTTATGAAATCAAAACATAAACAGAAAGTCGCTTTCATTGTACTGATATAAACGCAGATCTTGACTTAAAAGATAATGATTTAATAAAATTTTTCTAAAACTATCTTAATTTTACTAACTATAGTCTCAAATTCTATTAAATTTAGAATTAAAATCTCTTTCATGCGAGATAATATATAGTTGGATGATATTTTAATATTTGATGCTACCACGCAATAAATACATCTTAAGATTGCTCTAAGCTATAACAACCCTCTAAACACACGAGATTTAGCAACATTCACATTTAAAGTTAAAATCATTAATTTCAATTGGTCCTTCAGGCAAAGATGGCCATGTCCGATTTACAACGGTACCCTAGAAACCTTAATCTGATCAAATATTTGGAAGACTATCGTAGTCTTTTAAATGTACATTTCTGTGCACAATTTCTTCATTGCTTCTTATAAGCAAGAAATGCGCAAGTAACTTTCGAAGAGAACCCGAAAATGAAAATAAACAGTTAAATAACGAAACAAATACAATGATATCCAATTTATACTTGATCGGACAACGTTATTTAGGGTACCGTTGTAAATCGGGCATTACCATCTTTAAATGAAGGGTCACTTGAAATTACGCTTACAGTCCCTTTAAATGGTATTATCTTTTCTTATTGCCTAAAGAATTGTACACTTACCCCAAATTTTTCTAATACCTAAATTTTGGCAACCTGAAGGTGTAAACCTTTGATATTATAATAATCAAATGTTCACGACATCAGATTGCAAAAATGTAGGAAATATGAAATTGGAATTTTTGTAGTATGTTCAGTTCCTTTAAAGAAAATAGACTTAAATTTTAAAAAAAAGGTCCAACCTACAAATGATGTTCTTCGTTTCTTCTTGTGAGTACAGTCGTTAGGAATCTTGAAGACACACCTCTTGTGATAGTTTAAACCACAGAATTCACATTTTAGACCCTGCAGATATCACACGAATAAATAAATTATATTCTGACATTTTTTGGTTTTTACCTGCTTAAACATTCCAAACAACATCTCCCCACAGAAATCACAAAAAGTTGGTGTCTGAAAAATAAAATTAAAGGGAGTGTTCGCGAAAAATGAAAGGGGGTATATATATTTCATACTAGTTTTGATTTTGTTTTTTAAAATAATATTTAGCTTACAACTTGTTTTCGAACATTCCTGGAAAATATGAAAATGTCGTCTTCATTACCAAAAATCCTCGAAACAGGAATAAACGTTTTTATAAGTAACTCTCAGATCATAACAATTAAAACATATTATGAAAAATCAACTATATATAAATGTGGCGAAAGATAATCGATGACTATAGGTTGTAATATCTGAATGATTTGTTTGATATTAATTTGATTTTTTTACGGTCTAAGTCGTATGTTTCAACTTCCTCAATTTGTATGGGCGCTACGCTCTTCGGTATGAGACGTCTTTATCAATTTCCTCCTTATAGACGCAACAGATAGAAGTAAGATTAGTGGCGATCAAAGGCGCTTTTTTATCGCATTAAGCCTATACCCCCTTTCATTTTTCGCGAACACTCCCTTTAATAAATTTTTTTAATTTGAGTTGTTGGCAGGCAGTTGGAAAATTGACAATTGTTAACTTTTTTTAGCAGATATTTCAAAAGTCAGCTGACGGTTTGTCGTCCCTTAAGAAAAGTATATCAGTTGTTAAATCGACATTTTTTTCAATTGCTGTCGGCTGCACTTAGCCATTATTCTTAAATGACAAGCTTTACCAGAATTTCCATTTGTCTAGCTCTTGGGCACCACATCAATTTTAGAAATTCAGTTGTTGGCTAGACCGCTATTTTTTTAAGTATTAGCTGTTGGCAAGACCGCCATTTAACTAATGGCTGCTGTTACCTTGTAGGAGTGGATGGCAAGAGAGTGGGGACGGATTTCCACATCATCATCACCTAAACAGGGATTAAAAATGAATAACTTAAAAATTTCAAGAGTTTTGATTATTTTTTTGACCCCCCAAAAGTTTTAACGATCATGAAAACCTTTACAGTAAAACTATCTTATATTTAACTTTTGATAATTTGGTATTTCGATTCTTAAATATATTATTCAAATTTGCAGGACAGTGTTTTCAGTTTTTTTTGCTAAATTTTTCTTTATTAATACATTAACATTTATTGGTTTGGTGTTCAGCTTTTAGTCAATTACTCAATTATCTAATCAATCAAGTCAACACTAATCATTCAATCAATCAATAAATTAATTAATCAATTAATTCATCTTTCAATTAATCAATCAATCCATAATCAATCAGATAATATCAACTTCTATTATTTATAAATCTATCAAATAATCGATAAATCAATTGACTGAAAAATCAAGCAACCTACTAATCAATCAACTTCCATATAAAATCATCAATCTATCAAATCATAAATCAATCAATAAACTTCCATATAAAATCATCAATCTATCAAATAATAAATAAATCAATTAACTTCCATATCAAATCATAAATCTATCTAATTATGAATAAATCAATCAACTTCCATATATAATCATATATCTATCTAATAATAAATAAATCAATCGACTGATTAATAAATCAATTCAATCAACCTATTAAAAAATTATCCTATCACTCAAAAAAATCAATCTATTTATTAAGCAATCAATCAATCTATACATCAATTAATTAATCAATAAGACATTTACAGAGAAGCCTGATATATGATCTCTAGGATAAGAGTAATTGAAAGCGAAACAGGGAACCATGAAACCATGAAACCATGAAACCATGAAACCATGAAAGTATGAAACCATGAAACCATAAAACCATGAAACCATGAAACCATGAAACCATGAAACTATGAAACCATGAAACTATGAAACCATGAAACTATGAAACCATGAAACTATGAAACCATAAAACCATGAAACCATGAAACCATGGAATCATGAAACCATGAAACTATGAAACCATTAAACAATGAAACCATGAAACCATGAAGCTATGAAACCATTAAACCATAAAACTATAAAACTATGAAACCATAAAACTATGAAACCATGAAACTATGAAACCATGAAACCATGGAACCATGAAACCATGAAATCAGAAAATCAGGAAATCAATTACTATTACCTAGAGGCTGAGTGTTGAGAACAACCTCGAGGATGGTTCCCTCCTGGACCTCACAGGCACTGTTCACCATCTATATATATATATATATATTACTAGTTTAAAGGCACTGTTCACCATCTATTTATATATTAATATTACTAGTTTAAAGGCACTGTTCACCATCTATATATATATTAATATTACTAGTTTAAAGGCACTGTTCACCATCTATATATATATATATATATATATTACTAGTTTAAAGGCACTGTTCACCATCTATATATATATATATATTAATATTACTAGTTTAAAGGTACTGTTCACCATCTATATATATTAATATTACTAGTTTAAAGGCAATGTTCACCATCTATATATATATATTATTACTAGTGTGAATGCACTTTTTACCATCTATATAATAAAACAAGACATTCGTATATATATATGTTGCCTATAGCCGGCCAAACGGCTGGATCGATTGGGCTGAAATGTTATAGACTAAAAAAAACGAAATATTTGTTTTCAAAATATTTTGTTTTTTTTTAAATATTTTTAAAACATTTTTTTCAATTTTTTTTTCGATTTTTTTCCACGGGCAACGCCGGGCCCTTCAGCTAGTATGTTATATATTCCTATGATAAACCCTGTAATATGTTATATATTCCTATAGTGAAACCTGTAATATTTATATAACAAAAAAACCTAGGAAACCCATGGGAACCCTTGGGGTAACATGGACAAAAGAAATTATAAAATTTGTATTTTTTCAAAAATCGAATTTTATTTAAATCTAAATTTTTCTTAAATTTTTTTTGAAATCCCACGGGCAACCCCGGACCCTTCAGCTAGTGTGTTATATATTCCTATAAACCCTGCAACATGTTATATATTCCTATAATAAACCCTGTTCGCCTGATTTAACACTATTAATTGATTAACTGATGGTACCACCAGCTGTACTGTACCAGCAGGAAATAGAAATCAGGGCGGGATACTTGATAACAAGTGTAGAAGGAGGGGGATGGGGGGGGTGGAAGCCCCCTTCCTTCTCTTTATAATTAAAAAAATGTTTATTGGGTCTGTTTGTAATTTCAATTTTTACAATTTTGAATTAGATATTCAAGTATTTAATTTTGAAAACTAATTACATTCAATTGTGGGTTCTTTTCAAAAGTGACTTTCGCATTCTGCTGCAGGAAATTCATGGAGATATTATCAGAATTAAAGACTTGTCAAGCTAGGAAAACTTCCTCTTCTTCCTCATTATTAATAAGATAAACAGGTTTCAAGGATACTATTGTAAATCTATTGTGCTCCACTGTCAAGTCACTTGAAACTGTCAAGTCACTTGAAACTGTCAAGTAACTTGAAACTGTCAAAGTCACTTTAAACTATCAAGTCACTTGAAACTGTCAAGTCACTTGAAACCGTCAAGTAACTTGAAACTGTCAAGTAACTTGAAACCGTCAAGTAACTTGAAACTGTCAAGTAACTTGAAACCGTCAAGTAACTTGAAACTGTCAAGTAACTTGAAACTTTCAAGTCACTTGAAACTGTCAAGTCACTTGAAACTGTCAAGTCTCTTGAAACTGTCAAGTCACTTGAAACTATCAAGTCACTTGAAACTGTCAAGTCACTTGAAACCGTCAAGTCACTTAAACCGTCAAGTCACTTGAAACCCTCACGTCACTTGAAACCATCAAGTCACTCGAAACCGTCAAGTCACTTGAAACCGTCAAGTCAATTGAAACTGCCAAGTAACTTGAAACCGAACTGCCAAGTAACTTGAAACCATAAAGTCCCTTAAAACTGTCAAGTCACTTGAAACTTTCAAGTCACTTGAAACCGTCAAGTCACTTGAAACCGTCAAGTCACTTGAAACTGTCAAGTCACTTGAAACTGTCAAGTCACTTGAAACTGTCAAGTCACTTGAAACCGTCAAGTCACTTGAAACTGTCAAGTCACTTGAAACTGTCAAGTCACTTGAAACTGTCAAGTCAACTACCATTTAATCTTTGAATTTCGATGATCAACTGAGAACAAGTGTTTCTTCTTATTGACAATGATATCCTTGGCACAATTAATCTTGTAAATAATAATGTGGAAGATATCGCACGTTTTGTTACAGTGGTAGTCGATTTTTTCATTACAATGAAGACTACTTACATTTCACTTTTGATTGAAATCCATCTACTAAACAGCATGGATACACATAAACATAGAATTCAAGAGAAGCTATAAATTAAAAAAGCTTCTCTTTGATTACTTGTAAACTTATAATACGAAAAATACTTGTTTACAAGCAAATATTAAAAATAAAGGATCGTCTTATTTGTATTGATAAAATCTCCTACAACTGTATCTGTAAAAAAGTAACGTTTTTATCTCTGATTCATAATTTCACAAGTCATTTTTTCAACAGAACCACATTTTGAGATTATTAATTTTTACCCAGATAATTAAGAATTACATCATTCATGTTTGACCAGGCAAAACTTGATTACGTCTACACTCTACACTCCCTGTAAGCTTGGAATTGCGATGATTAAAAGATTAAATGACAAAAAGTGTATCGAGCTCCTAATTAATGAGTGAATCTTTAGATTTGAAACTCTATCTTTGTATCTAGGGTTTCCAATCGGAATTCCGTTGCGCAAAATTGCGCGGAATTACAGGGCTCACAATCGCGCGGAATTACAGGGCTCACAATTGCGCGGAATTACAGGGCTCACAATTGCGCGGAATTACAGGGCTCACAATTGCGCGGAATTGCAGGGCTCACAATTGAGCGAAATTACAGGGCTCACAACTGCGTGGAATTACAGGGCTCACAATTGCGCGGAATTACAGGGCTCACAATGGCGCGGAATTACAGGGCTCACAATTGCGCGGAATTACAGGGCTCACAACTGCGCGGAAGTAAAATCCGGTTGAAACCCTATTTTTATCTTGCTTTAACAGTTATGACGTAAATTAAACTCCAGTTGAACGTATCGTATACGAAGTGTAAAGATATAGATCTAAATCTTGATAAACACAGAGTACTCAATCTGTAAGGATGCTATCTGGGTATGTGTGTATGTAATCAGTTATAAAATAATATAACCTTTATAAAACTAAACTCTGCATATACAGGTCTGCTTCGAGCAATATACTGTCACGCTTTAATGCTTTATATATTCACTCTACACTATACAGGTATAATACAGGGCTTTATATATTCACTCTACACTATACAGGTATAATACAGGGTGGGTCTATTATATATTCACTCTACACTATACAGGTATAATACAGGGTGGGTCTATTATACATAAGCCTAAATATGGACGGGGGGCATTTAATTAAAATTATACATCGTAGTTTGAATAAACATAGTATCAAAATTATTGAGAAGGGTGACTAAAAATAAAATTATCAGGGTGTTTAGAGGTGGAGAAAATACTTGAATTAGTGTCAGAATTTCATTGAAATTAAAATGTATCGACATGGTTACGTAGAAGCGATTTTTTTAAAATGGTAAAACAAGAAAATCATGCTTTGCTTTACAAAAACTTTCATAATTTTTTTTAAATATTCTTATTTTTAATGAAGTAAGAGTGTCAACACACCCCCCCCCCCATCCCCCCTTTAAGCCATGTTATCATCCCTATATAGCCTTGTGAGGCAAACTAAGCCCTTATCATCTATGAGCCTCTTCTGTAGTGTAAACAACAGAAAAAAAAAACAATTTATGAGAAGCAAATTTTTTAAAATTTAACAAGTATGTATAAACACTTCATGCCGTATGAACAACTTAAATACTATTTACTGAGTGGTATATCTAAGCTCAATTTGAATAGTGTTTCAAAATACAGAGTGTCCGATGTAAAATGTATTCACAGGGTGTCTCACTATTATGGACTCTCCTGGATTCTCTTTGCAACCTAATAAGTAATATCAAATCTGTTGCCTTCGACAACCGCCCCCTCCCCTTATTACCCATCTAATATATGTATTTGTATACACCACATAATTAGTTTTATACCAGTTTTCAGCCTTATTACCATATTTCTAATTATTAATTATCTTTAATTCTTGTTCTATATAATTAAAATTACCTGGAGAATATTAGGGGAGTTGTAATCGTGCTTGTACACCATAACTCGCTCCGGAAGCCTGGAAAACAAGAAATTTGAGTTTGCGCGAATCGCAAAAAACCTTTATAATTCAGTAATTTGTGCAAATGCACTTATGCCAAGTAATTTTAATAAAATCATATTTTTGAACATGCAAAAAAAAATTTAAATCCTCGAAGCGCCCCCCCCCCCTTATTGAGACAAATTATACAATTATAAAAGCACATGACCATGCCTATTAAAATTTGCAAAATGTAAATTTTTAAAAGCAATTTTACAGATCAAAGGTTTTTACTTAAAGCAGAGGAATTTAAGATATTGTGCGTAAATGGGCTTGTAAAGTTATTTTCTTGCAATTTAAAATTTAAATGCTATCTAACAAAACAAAAGAATTAATCTCCTAATTAAAACCTAATAAAAATTATTTCAGTTTTTTTTAAAACGGTATTCAAAGTATTGTTGGTTTTAACCCAATACAAATTTTCAAAACAAAAACCACATTATTTCAATTAAAAACCATTTACATTATTTTGAATTTCCAAAATCATTCTTTTCAGAAAACTTTCACTTAAAGGGTCTGTAGGCTTTGTTTCAAAGGGTCTGTATAGGCTTTTATTTTAAGAGTGGCATGTCTTATTTACAACGGTACCCTGGAAATCTTTGTCTGGTGAAGTATGAATAAGATAAAACATTATGAACGGTCGGTTGAATTTTCGTGGACAAATCTGCTAAATATTTTCCCATTCTTTTTAACATTTATTATAAACTTACTGTACAGTGATTTCCCACATGTTTTAAATAATTCAATTTTTTAAATTGCCTTTACAAAGTTTACTGTGTTTAGCAAAAACTCAAAGATTTTTGTTTTACTTTTTGTAAAATTTGAAAAAACTATTATGTTAAAACAAATTAACTGAAAGCTTTTTGTAAAATTTGAAAAAAAACTAAAATGTTAAAACAAATTAACTAAAAGCTTGAAAAATGTTTAATCCTTAAAAAGCCATCGGAATTTTAAGGGGTGGGGAAGCAGGGGCATATACAGGGGGAGAAAAATTAGGGTTGTTCCCCCCACCCCCCGGGAAGAGTGAAAAGGAATATTATTTTGAGAGGATTCACCCCCCCCTTCGCCTTTGGAGGGTAATAGGGGAGGGTTTGTGAAAAGAAATAAAGAGGAGAAACTATAGATTATCTGTGAAATTGGAGATAAAAAACAATTGAGATCTCGAAAAGCTCCCGTTCATCGGGAAACTTTTAAAACTAAAATGCATAGCACACCAAATAAAAAGACTATCTGTAGAAACAAAAAAAGGAATGTAACAGAAAACATAAAGGGACTTAGTTATTAAGAAAACAAAAAGGATGATTAAAACTGGGACTACACTACAAATCAGACCAAATAATGTGACTATGTGCAGAAACAAAAAGGGATGAATAAGGATCTCAAGCACAATACATATAAAACAGAAAAAAAAACTACACACATAAAAGCAATACAAAAATTATATATATTTTAAGAAACAAAAAGTGACTTTTTAAAGTAACACAAAAGTGGCAATCTGAAGAAACGAAAAAGGAATTATAAAAAAGTGACTACATAAGAAACAAAATGAAAATTTATAATTTATTACTTTCTTCATCGAAGACAAGGAAAAAAATTGGCGAAATCGGGTCATGAAAAAAATCTGATATCAATAAAAAAAATTACCTTGTTACACCGTGTTCAGCGAACTTTTCATTAATAAAATTACAGGCAAACACCTTTTTAATCATTTTATTTAAAAAAAAAATTCAATTACTTCTTTTCATCAAATCTGGTCTCCAAAGAACTTGGTTCCAAAAAGAAAATTAATTTTCTTGATAAAAAAGAAAGAAAATTGTTAAAACTAAATGTAAAAAGTTCAAGTTAACGGAAAGTTTTATGGAAAAATAAAATGAAAAGAATTATCAAAACCAATTTAATTTCAAAACATCATGATTATAACATTATAATACAATAATATTTTCCATAAATAGCATCGTTATCAATTAAGTTAAATACTTTCGAGAGAAAATATTAAATTCTTGATTAGAAAATCTTTTTTAATAAATGATAGAATTTTCCTTTATTGTCTTCAGCGTAAGATCTGTTGTGTCAACTGTAATTCTATCCCTCACCAACCCAACCTATAAACATTTTAGTGTACTTTATCATTCATGCTTGGATCCTGATTAATTTCATTACAGCATGTATTATAAGGAGTAAAGAAGTCAACGTGCTATATGCTGCTAAATCAGCTGTGTATCATAACACTGTGCTGTAACACTGTGCTGGAGTTTCTCAAAAAAAAAAATGCTTTATTACTGGAATATTTTTTTAAAATTTTATAGGGATTGTTAAGGTACAATGAAAGGGGGTATAGGGTTAAAGCCTGAAATTATACAAAGTTTATCACTATTAGTTCTGTCTGATATCTCGAGAAAATTATATAAAACTGTGTCCGAGTTTTACGAAAACTCATATATATGTGATATAGTATTGGAATCAAGGTTTAAACAGATCTTTTACAGCAAATATAGAACACATCTAAAAATAACGATAACCTAGAGGTGCAATATAGAAACTTTAGGTAATCTTCTATTTTATAATACTTATTCATTTTTGATGGATATACCTGGTTTTGGTCTTGTTTCGTTTATATTTCCACCAATTATATCAATTTCTTAAGACATCGACATCATTCAGAAATTATTATTGGTTATTATTATTTCTAGGCTTTAGCCTATACCCCCTTTAATTTTAACCTCAACAGTCCCTTTAATGAAAATAGTTACGAATTGAACTTTTTTTATTTCTTTTTTGACAAAAGGCTTGTTAACCGTTCATTGTATGAAACAAGTACAAACATTTTTAAAAAATAACTCACTAATTTTTTGACAGGATCCGAGTTATAATGTTTTTCGACTTTAATTTTTGTTGTATGATATCTCAAAGTTTACTAAATAGTTTAATTTTTTTTTTAAATCTTTGAATTCTTAGAACTTTTTTTTTTCCCTTAAAGGGACTGTAAGCGTAATTTCAAGTGACCCTCCATGCAAAGATGGTAATGCCCGATTTACAATAGTATCCTTGAAACCTTAATTGGATCAAAAAAAGTGAAAGATATGGTCGTTTTTCGAAAATGTTTATTTCTATGAGTTTTTCCATTGCTTCTTACAAACAAGAAATGCACAAGTCACTTTCGCAAAGAAACCGCAAATTAAAAATAAACAGTTTACAGAAGCAAAAATTCATTCTTGATCCAACATCGCTTTAAGGGATCCGTTGTGAATCAGGCATTGTCATCTTTGTTTGGAGGGACAGTTGAAATTACACTTACAGTCCCTTTAAGGGAAAAATAAAAGTTCGAAAAATAAAATCTGATTTTAAGGAAAACATTAAGTTGCAAAAAGAACTGTCTGAAGGTCAAAAAATGTACTATAACATTGTAAATGTAAATCTTAACAGTACATTTTTATGACGTTTAAGTTTCAACTGGCTTTTGAATAATGATCTGTAAAAACGATTTAAAAAGTCTGTTTTCTTGTTATTTCATTTTCTTGTCTGAAGGATTATTATTATCATTATCAATTACTGGCATTATTATCACTGTTATTTTAGTTGATTACATTGATAAATCCTTTTTTAAATAGTAAGTACTCTACGAATCTTTTAAAAAAATAATGTAATTTGTTACGTTTATCGAAATTAGGATATATTAATAATGAAAGGGAAAAAGATAGAAAAATCTTCTTTTTTTCTAAATCCTTATTTTTCTAACCAAAGTTCTGTGAACTTAAGAAAAGATATTTAAACAGATATTTTTGTATTGTTAACTTGTAGAGCTACACAATGAAAAATGGTACTTATATTTTTAAAATCAATTATGAAACTTCTGAATTGCAAGGTAGACAGAACAAAGATTTTAATTACGTTTCCATCCCTTTATTCAGAACACCCAAACATTGTGTTCCATACAAATATTGGCTACATTATTTTTAGCAAACATTTTTTTATTGGAAAACAGAAACAGGTGTACCTGGAACTGAAATGAAACAAGAACTCCATTACCCTCCGCCATCTTGGTTTGGTTTGGTTTTGATGTTTTCCCGGATTTTAGGATTTCTGTCCTAAACTCAGCAATAGATCAGTCCTGCTTACATTTTATCTGAAAATACAAAATATTTCAAAATTTCTTTTATCCTGCAATTTTAATTAAATTATATTAAAAATTTAATCTGTGTTTTGATCTTTTTGAAGTTCCATCTTTTCAAAACTAATATAATGTTCTGTAAGCACAAATATTAAAAAGATGGTTAGATCGATAAGAGATGGATATACATGATGCATGCTGTATGCATGGTCCATTAAATCAGTAACTTACTAACTACCTAAAGAATATTTAATTTACCAACTGACTATTAGCAAATAGGTAACTTAAGTAGTAAATAACTAACAAACTATTTAGCTAACTAAAAGCTAAACCAAATTGTTTATCTGTCTATCTATCAGGCTTAATAAAGATTTTTAATATAAATGGTCCTACTTATATAAAGGTAATATACAACACAATGGTTTACAGTTTATTTAGTATTCGTTTATTTACATGTATGCCTTCATTACAAACATTTACTTTATTGATTACACAAAATAAAAAGATTTACAACCAACCATTGAAAGAGAAGAGAGAGGGGGAAGGGTAAAAGGTCAAAGGATAAGGAAAATAGAAAATAAGATTTTGAACACAAATAACACAACATTGGCAGATATAGGGTGGAGGGTGGGGGAGGAGGGAGAAAGAGAATTTTTTCAATATTCATTTGCGACCCATGAGACGTTTTTACGGTGTCTGATTGTCCAGCAAGAGCGGAAATTTTTGAGAACAGTTTTTTTGTTTAATTTTTCAATTTAAAATTCCGATTCTCAAATAATTCCTCCAGATTGGACAATTCAGGAGGATTTTAAAGATTGAATTAGTGCGCTTGCTGAATAAATATAAACCGTAAAAAGGTCTCAAATAAATCCAAATAAATTTCTCTACAATACTGCACTTTTAGATCAACAACCATATATAGCCGGTCACTCTCTTTTTAACAACTTGTTTAGCATAAGAACTTGATAAACAAAGCAAAAAAATTGGAAAGGTGAAACTACACCAAACAGGATAAATAGAAAAATTAAAAATATTTACTATAGTTGTCATCTTTTTTCAAAACATCCGCTGTCTGAGCTTTCCAAAAAGTAAAACAGAAACTAAACCTATCTACTGCCCTTTGGGGGTTTATAATTATAAAACATCTCATCATAAAATAAAAAGTTCAAAGCATCAGACCAAAAAGTTGTACCGATCCATGCATGATTTAAGGTGGTTCATTCCATACCCTTTTTAATTTTTTGCGTACACTCCCTTTAATAAAGTTAACAAATTATGATGGATTTACATTTTCCTAGTTTTTAATATCCAAGTTGTTCCAGAGTAAAATGATTTCACAGAATTAAAAATAACTAATTTAAACTTTATTCTCTGGAAACCATGGATAAAATATTTAACAGATTGAAAAGTGGGAAAGTAGTTTTAATTTTGTTTTATCCATGGAAATTCGGAATAATTTAACGTTAAAGCGTAGAATTTCAGAAATTCAAGTTTAAAAGTTTAACTTTAAATTATTTTTACCATTTGTTCCAGTTTTTGTCAAACAATTTTCCGTTTTCAAATATAAATATCATCACATGCTTAAAGTAGATATTTAAAATAAAAACTAAATGGAATTATTAAAATTAGTTTCTTTTATTTAGATCAAACAAGCAAAGTTAGTCAGATAAAAAGTTAAAATTAAGTTAATTTTTAAAGGAATAAAAAAAGATTATTTTGTGTTATTTTTTCAAAATTTCTTTCAAATGTAAAATTAGAAAATTCTTAGAAATTATATATAAAATATAACATCAAGAACCTTTTAGATTTCAAAATTAAAATTTTTTCTTAACAATTTTCAGACTCTATTCAATAATAACTCTAAGATAATAAAACCTGCCTCTCTTCATGAGCTAAGCATTTTACAAACTGAGTGCTAGTGTCAAACCTAGGAAAAGTGCAGGTTAAGGGAGTTTCTTAAACTGGATTAGGAACTGCACCACGCTAGATTAAAAGGAATTATCCAAAATTTGCAATTGAAATTTATCTCTTTTATTTCCTAATTCACAACAACACCGAACAATGTTCCTAGCCCATTTAGGAAATGTCGATATTGACATCCGTTTTTGGCCATTTTATTGTGACTTTTTTTTAAATAAAAAAATTTTATCAAGAAATTAATGAATCTTTGCTTGTGGTTTGTTTTGAAATATTATATTCCTGCTAAACTTTTGGTCGTGCGTGAACATGGACCTGTATTAAACTGCATGAACCTGCATTAAACTGCATGGACCTGAATTATGGAATTTTCAAGAACTGACTTAATAATAGACCAACAGATTCAAGCCAAAGTGCATGCATGGAATTTTCGTGCTTAAAACAGCAAAATTGTGGGTTTTTATTATACTACTCAGCTTTGAAATCCTAAACACAAAATATTGGCCACACTTTAATGAATAAATTTCGGATTTCTTAGTTATTTTATAAACGCAAAACTGTTTTCCATCTTTTCTGCGATCATCATCAAAGAAAATAATGTTGTAGGTTTTCACGGATTTCTCTGTTTTAATTGATGGATTGAATTTCCAAAAATTTTAATCCCTTCTTTTTAATGTTTTTCTTTTGAATAAATGAGAAGGGGAGGGAGGGGGGTAATTAAATTCCCTTTTTTAAAAGCAAAAACACCTTTATAAAAAATATTTCATTTCACATTTCAAAAATAATTTCAAAATTTAATTTTTTTTTGTGATATAGGAAATTATGAACCTTCATAATTCAAAGTTTATCACATCCAGGGTCTACGACATCAAGTTGCAAAGAAATAAGGATTAGAAAATCAGAGTTTGAAGTATGTTTTAATATTTATTTGAATTTTAAATCAACAAAACTGAACAAATAAAGAACAGTTTACAATTTTTTTTCAATTTTTTTCTGTCAAACTTTGAAAGAAAGATTTTCAGATTGAAAAAAAATCTAAATAAAAGATGAAATCACATCTATTTATATATTTTTCATTGGAGAAAAACACTGTTTTCATGAAATGTATTTTACAATTTTTTATGAAAAGATTATAGAAAAAATTGTTTTAACAAATTTTGTGAAAAAAACGCTTTACAATCTAGAAAGAAACTGAACGCTTATCTCAAACTCTAATTTTCTAATCAATATATCTGAGCAACCTGACTTCGCAAACCTTTAATATTTAAATCTATAAATGTCAATTTTTCAAATTTAGAAATTTAAAGGTCTACTGTCTACGACGTTAGAGTGCAAAGATATAAAAATGAGAAAATTTTGTTCAATTTAACTTTTATTATTCTTTTCTTAGTATAACAAAAACAAAGGAAGTCTTTGTCACAAACTCATCAAATTACAAAGATGTAGTGATTAGGAAAATTTGAGTTAGTGGCAAAGACTCAAATTTTCGAATCCAAATAGCTTTGCAATCTGATTGTGTAAACCCCGCATATTTAAAATTAAGATAATTTTATCTGAAAGATTTCATAGTTTAAAATATCGATAGTTTACGAAGTTGTAAAAATATGGGATTAGAAAATTTTTGTTTGTGAACTCAGTTTTTTTCCACAATTTTTTCTAATTGTTATTAATATTGTAATCATGTTATTGGAGTTGAGCCCAGCGTGATCCTGATCATCCTGCTGAGACAAACTCTTGTTAATAATCATCAATTGATTCTAACCAGGACAATGGATAAGTTTGTTCGTTTGTTCGTTTATTAGTTTGTTTCGTTAATTCGTTCGAGTTCATTCCTTAACTTAATTCGTTGCAGCTATTTTCAAATTTTTAAATCTGTCATTTTACTAGTTTACGTTAAACTGCCTGAAATCGTATGCGGGCTTAAAAATGTCTTTAAATTTTACGTCCCGGGTGTGTATTTTCTTGAAAAAAACTTTTTTCTCCCAGAAGTTAGGTTTAAAATTTGCTTAGGTTTTATTCGATTAACTGATGAAAATAAACAATTAAGTAAGATAATAATAAAATCAAAAATCATCACCAATAATGACGCACATGATTTTTTAAATTGTTATCTAAAATTATTACCGAAATATGCAAAATATGCTTTTGTTACCACCTCGAAAGGACCTTTTTAACTGTACTTCAAAATTGTAAATATGTTCTATCTTTCATTTTCTTTAAAAGTTTTAAACTTTCATAACAGAGAAAACATTTCTTTTCAAGTTTAATTCAGAGCCGGAGGCAGGCCCTGCAGAAATACTAAGAAACTCAAGGAATATGTAAAAGTTATTTTTTTAAAACAATTTTACAATAGTAACACTCATATAGTGGCTTAAACGGATCCCTGCAGTTAAGTGAAAAGAAAACTTATTGAACAATTTTTCCTTTTTTGAACATTTCTTTGTAGTTTCAAATGATTTGATGTCGGCAATTTTTTTTCTTAATTAGAAAAAAAGATGAATTTCATATTTGAACTTATTTAGAATTTACTGACAGAATAAAATATTCAATTATAATTTCAATCATAATTCTCCGAATTCTTAATATTTTCACAACAGATTAGAATTTTAATTTTAAAGGCAAAACTTTTGAAGTCAAGACTAATAAAAAGAATAAATTTTAGAACTGAACATATTCAAAATGGTATATGTAGAGGCAAATATTCAATTATAATTTTTAATCATAATTTTCCGAATTCTAAATATTTTTAACTTCAGATTCTTAATTTTGAAGTCAAATATAAGAAAAGAGATCTCTAAACAGATTCTTTTGTATTACGATGGTTAAGCGATATTATTATTCTTCTGGACAATTTTAAATTAGAAGAAAATAAGAGAAAAATCAGGGCGCTTCGGATCCCGGTACTAGTGTTAAAGAACAATTCTGAACACTTCCATTCAATTTGTCCCTAATTCTAATTTTCTAATCATTATTTTTAGCAACATATCACGTCTTTAGGCATTTGATATTCCAAATTTTGACTTCTGTTTAGTACACATTCAAAAGTTTAAGTTTAAATATTATTGATTTTGTAAAATTAATATTAAAGAAATTA